CTATTGCACACAAATTGCAAATATAAATGTATTTTCAAATTTGAGTCTCGGTGAAAAAAGAAATCGATTGGTATGTATCACTTTATTGTAGAACACTTCCTTCATAGTGAACTTTTCCATGACAGTTTTCCTCAATAACTGTTATGTTCGGTGCCTGTCGAAAACATCATTTTCTCTCAAGTGCATAAATGGGAATTAGATTAGAATTATCTAGGGTTCGAAAATAATCATATAGTTTTTTAATCACATAGTTTTTTATTTTTATATCATTGCAAAATTGTTTTTTTATTTTCATTAAAAAAAGAAATAATCATTAAATTTTGATTTCAACGTTTTCGATCAAAAAATTATTAAATTTTGATTTTTGATTTGATTTTCAGCAACATTTCTGCATCAAAAAGAAAATTTTGGTAAAAATTTCGCTACGTATTTTTGGCGGTTAGGGCTCGATATGATCGAAATAATATAACTCCAAAAAAACGATTATTTGTTTATCGAAACAACAGAAAAGATAAAATAACGATTAGATTTGATTAAAGATATATAATTTTTATTTTAACGTTTAATTTATGATATTTATTACAAAGATCATGCCCGCTAAGAACCCTCGAATTAGTCTTAAAAACGTGAAGAGATATTGTTTAACTGCAATGAATATGAATAGCAATTGTTGAGGATGTATATCGAACTAGACATCGATAAATTTATTGATAAAAAACCGAAAAGTAATTCGATAAATGCATATTTCGGTAAAGGAATCGACATACATTTCACTAAGGGTAAAAATGTAAAAATGTATCGATAACGCTGCCCATTAATCTACCGATGTTTAAATAAATAAATAAATCGATCTTATTTCCATCAATCGTTTTATAAATCCGTTCCTACAAATCGCGCTCACCTTTCCATGACCTTACCAAGGCACAATGTTTTCAACCCATCCTAATGTAAATACATTTATATATAAATCTTCATGTGAGTGCTCATCATTCATTTATTCATGCCACACGCCACTCAAAGGACGATTGCAATATAAGCTTGGACGGTGTGCTTTACATTTAAAAGGATGGATAACTTCTCATTTCAGCATACATACATACATACTTGACATACATACATATACATGTTTATACAAACATGCAAGTAAAGATATTTGGTATAGTCACGTGTGAGTATACTGAGGCTCATGTATGCGCTCTGAGTGTCCGTCGTTAGCAAATAAATATTTCATTTTGAGATTTTGATCTGCAATGTAATCAGGTGGAAAAATAGCTCCATGATTGCTTGCGAAAGAAAGCCAAAATTTGTTTAATCAAAGGTGCTTGCTCATGCTTCTAAGGTAGAGTAATAAAATAAGTAGAGAAGATGTTAATAAAATAGAAAAGGTGGTCAAACCGCCTTATTTGATGAGATGAGATGATAATAAATTATTTTTATTCTTTTAAGGATAAGTCAAGTTTTCTTTCCTCGCCAGCTTGTTAAGGTTATTCTGACAAAACGTAATCTCAATCACTAAAGTGTGCCGCATTGAGAGCCAGATTAGATACTTTAAAAACTTTAAAGTTTGCCTGTGCAAATTCAATCTCGAAGGTATAGTGAAAACTCTAAGTTGCTTAAGTGCATTGTTCTCTAGTCCGGTTTAGGGGGAACAAAAAAAAAACACCCATAAATATGCCCCAAAAACTGCTCGTACTATTTTCTTCCAATCACATTCCACCACATATGTACTACTTAATCCATAGTATTACATTCTCACAGCTTTCAAGAAAAAAAATCTGTTGAAATTAGAAGTCACTGGTCAGGCCCTTAAATCTCTATTAGATAGGGTCGTGCGAAATCCAAGGGGTTAATAAGCCAGAACAAACCACAAGCGGCCACAACAGTGCTTAAGCGCCTGGACACCCTCACATCAAGTACGCGATGAAAGAGGTGCCCTGTTCCCATTACAAACTGCGGTTATAGACCAGGAGGGCTACAAATCTCACCCAGCCATGTAAGTATATGTCAGCGTCAAGTATTTCTTTGACCAACTCAGTTTGTAGGTTTTCTGACTGTGATAGTGTGACACTAACCGTTGCCAAAACAGCATGTCATCTCAGGAAGTCCAAACTCCAACCAAGAGTGTCCTACTAGCGAGCGGGTAGGTTACGTTAGGCGGCAGTCAGTCCAAAAGACCAAATTACTTAGATCCTGCTGGAGTCAGTGGATAGCAAATAATCCTGATCAGTTGATGCTCACACACACTCAATAGTTTAAGAATTTTTTCTAAGCCCGCTGCGGACACCATCCGCTCAGCAGGTGAGAAAATAGCCTCTAGTTAGCTATAAGTTACCACAAAAGTAATTATCAGGCTTGATATTCGCCTTACTGGCTCAAGATAAAAGTAGGAGGATCAACCTTCTGTCAGGTTGCAAACTGATTGAAAATAGTTTCCAGGAGCCTAAAGGACCTCGTTCTTTGAGATCAGGAGGAGCTGGAAAATTTGTTAATGGTCATCAAATCGGCTCCTTTCCGGACCTTTGTACACCAAAGCGCTGGATTTCAAAAGCCGCCCACTTAAGAGAACCAGACAATCGAGCATATCTGCGACCGAAAACACTCCGCGGCCTCTTAGAGCCTTTAGCGATGCCACAATAAATAAAATACTTCCCGCGCACTAGCAGAGGACACCCCGACGATAACGCTAGCTATCAAAAACGAAAACGATAACGAGCTCAATAATTTCAGTACCAAATTTTAAGTAAAAATTGACCTTCACTTCCACATTACTTTTTATGTGCTTACATAAATGTGAACATACATATGTCCATATGTTTTTGTGATTTCATTTAACTGTAGCAAAGCAAATACACTTGCGTAATTCTAAAGCTTAATTGCTATGCTCCGCAAATAAACTTGAGACAAAGTATCGTATGATTGCAAAACATTAGAATTTGAAATGGAATTAAAAGAACCAAGACAACACCACAAATTGACATAGACATCGACTTTCGATTGGGGAGTGTCAACAACTCGCAGCGCTCGGTAATGCGGGGCTAATACTCAATGGCAAAGCAAACGATACTGGAAAAGTATTGCCACCCTGCAAAAAATAGTGCGACTAATCTCCAAAGAGAGTATTCCGAGATTACTCTCAATCGGGTACAATTGGGCATTAATTAGTCGCAACTAGTCTCATACGGGTACTAATGGAGATCAATTGCTCTCGACTCATCCCTTATGGGTATAATTGGAGATCAATTAGTCCCCAACTCATCTCTGACGGGTACTATTAACGATTTAATGATATGTACGCACTTAGTCAATGTTCATTTCATGTGCGGCGTTGGCTCGCAGAGAGAGTATTCGCCTAACAAAACTGAGCACCCCGGTTCGAATCTCAGCTGGCGCAAATTTTTATTTTTATTTTTTAAAAGTGACTAGTCGCTTTTTATACCCGTTCGGGTATAAAGGTGAACAATTAGTCTCTTCATAGGACATGCTCGAACAAAACCGAACAGTTCATTCCATATAAAGAGATCTAAAGTGGTATTAGTCGCATGCTCCTTTGCGATTGCTCCCTGAGTCATCCCGGATTAGTCCCGTTTTTTGGAGGGCAAGCACACACACACACACACACACTTATGTACATGCACATTCGTATAAAATATAAAACCAAAAAAAACCAAATCAATTTAATGAAAAACAAGAAGCTAAACAAGTAAGAGTACAGGAAGCAATAAGACGCCAGCATACTTATGTATGAATGTAGAAACAGTTAGTGTATCCAATAACCAACGGCAATCGAATGTCACTGTTCGAGCATAGCAATATCTTTATCTATGTAGCTGGGTATGAGCTAATGTAAGAGTATACATATACCGCAATTTAGAGCTCATATTGCACCACACCCTCGCTTGCCACAATTGCGCTCATTGAATTGATGATCGTCAACAGATTTAGCAATAGCGCGCGCTTTTGTTTATTGCTGTGTTTTTTCTACTTTATTTTCTTTTTATCGCTAGTACTTCTTTTCATGATTATGTTTATATCGTTGCAATATATGTATTTAAAATTTTTATTTTTTTTTACTGCTTTGTTTAAAACAAATACAATTAAGTGTCTCATACATGACAATTGGGCGCTTTTAAGTGTCAAGTTCAAATGCTTCAATCGGCAACATCTGCTGTGGGTATGCTTCAGCGATTTAAATGGATACACATATATGTATAGACTCATGTCAAATGCTGATAATCTGCTGATATTCAAAAATATACCACTTAGAACAAATTTCGAAATTGAGATCCGCAAAAAATAAGTGGGATAAATGAAGATCGATACACGTCGTCAGATATACTGGCAAACATATATTTCCACTTATTATCACCTTGGCTCCATATAGGTGTTCAAATTCATACAAATGGGAGCTTTCTCGAAGCGTTTGAACAGTCTGGCAGCACAAGCAGAATGGACAAAAGAAAGCTCTTCAACCCATTACGAAATAGTGGAAGCCCGCTTGTACAGTAGAGCAATGGTCACACCTACAGAATAACTATATTCTCTTTGAAAAGGTTAGATCCAAGATAAACGGACTTCCAATGCATTGGAACGGATGACACTGATACCTGCAAAGAGCCAGGAAAGAGCCTGCTCTGCTCTTGTCAGGTGACGGATGCCGATCCAGTCTCAGTACCAGCTGAAGTAGGCTCACGCGTCCATAAAGAGGGTGCGAGCCAACACATAGTGGGTGAAAAACTCATAAGCTCAGGTAACCTAGCTGCTTAAAATACCGGCTCTCTTTTTACCACTCACCCTGGTAGAAAAGCCAGGTCTGTAGCTTTTTCGTTCTCAGAAAGGAGTTAAGTGTGCACACCTGAGGTCTCATCTCCCTATCTGGTGGGTATTCAGATGAACGTGCACCCTTCGGGAATGACGACCCCAACTCTATAGTTGGGAAACTATCTTCCCCTGCTCCCAAAACATCGAGGCCACAGGCGTATTGGGGCGAGTCTGCATTACCGATGGTGTTTAATGGAAAGACCTGTTGAAATGTAAAATTTACAAGTTGAAGGAGATTGCCGACAGAAATTCAGGAGAACATCCAGAACGTGCGCGAGTCCATAGTTAGTGTCTGCGGAAGCTCGATTAAAAACAACCCTGAAAAGTCCAGATAGGAGACCAAGCGGAACAGTGACGCCATCGATCACGAAACGACGTTTCGAAACCTTCTCAAAAGTGCAAAGATATAATAGACCTATTTAAGCTCATATCAAACTGTAATAAACCACCTTCGCGTCGCAGACATATACGAGTCATCCAACTACTGCAGTCCTTGACAAGTGGCCGCAGATGGAGGCCGAGCTTTCGGTCTTGGAGATGGTGACTACCTCAGCCAAAAAACCCGATTGTCCGATACTCCGGTGAGATGATGACTAGGGCATCGGTGGCTATAACCATAACGAGGACAAAGTCTCCAAGGAATTTATGCACCGGAACATAGCCGAGACCAGCTACGTTTGGTTGGGCATAAAGCTCAAAGCTTATCTGGCGATGGGTAAGTACGAAGAGAGTGAAGCTGCTATAATATATGGGAATTATGAACCCTAAGGCCCATATGGAAAACTGGAATGTCTTGAGGCGCGAGGACAAAAAGGCGATTATCCAGCCATTCTATTCCTGATGGCTGAGCAATCGGCAATACAAGAGCTAGGTCTCTGAGTTCACTTTGGTGTGTGGCGTGTTGGCAGGCAAATTTAAGATATTCCGAGGTAGAGAGCTTGAAGACGACGACGAGAACGGGGAATCATCGCTTGGAATGCCCCTGTAAGGCTAAACGAGAATTGTTTCTAAATCTCATTGACGATCGAGGTGACCGAGGGAGCTAGTGGTTCGTTGGCCTAAATAGCATCACACAAACGATGACCAAAGACATAAAGTTTGACTTGAAGTGGGTCGGAATTTCTCTAGGCTTAGAATATTTCGAGCAGAATGCATTTTGCTCTCAAGTGAGAGGGGTATAACATTGAACACCTAAGCTACACATATCAACAACATGATTTCTCTATGTTGTCGGTGACAAACGGAACCCAATTCAATATCAAAACCAATGATATGGCGAGGGGCTCACAAATTTATGCTGCCGATCTGCACCGATCGGTCGATTTGCGCGCGCACAACAATTTGAATATCACCGACGATCAACTGTTGTAACATCGCTACAGCATTATGGCGTTTGACAATTGCTAAACCAATAAAATCGTATTTTAGTAGCGGCATGACATAACAGTGAATAGGGGTAGGGGAAGGAAAAGTGATCTGGGAAAATCATGCAATTGATCGTGAAATGTGATCGCGTGCGCATAGCTATTGCTTTTAGGCTTACTGCCTTTTTTTTGCCTCTTATGTTCGATATGCTTTTTAGCGTTGATGCTCGATGAGCGCACTGATCTTGTTGAACGCATTATGTAGCTTTTTTGCAGGCATTTTTCTTTCTGGTTTTCCTTTTGCATTTTCTGTATTTCTCCAAAATGTTTGACGCATTACCGCTCGCATTTGAGCATCGCATTTTTATTAGAAACTGAAAATGCAAAAGCTTTGCTCGCCAATCGTTTGATCAGCAAACTTAATTGATTTTCAGTTTGTTGCTGTGTTTACGATCTGTTCGTAGCGGACTCCCCGCTCCGCGCTGCCTCTGCGCGCTTACTGCCGTAGTGAACCAATTGTTGGTCGCTTGATGACACAATGACGTAAACCTTTGCTGAGCTCAGTGCATACAAATATATTTCCATGCGTACATAAATTTTCATGCTTTTGTGGGCTGGCAGGCTGCTGTGTCATCGCAGCTCGTGCGATTTTCATCAACCGCGATCCGCCCAGTTCCGCAACTGAAGTTCACAGCCGAGGCATTTTTGTTGCTTTTAGAAGCATTTAATTTTTTTAAATTATTATTTCATATTTCTTTCCCATTCCCTTGATTAAGTTCTAAGAGATATAATTTTTGAAATTCTTAGCTAAAAATCTTGTTGCTCTCAATGTTGTTGTTATTATAGCATATTGTTGATGCTTTGGTTTATTATTGCTGCCACTGCCACTGTCACTGTCACTGCCTCAGCCGCTAACGCCGACGCTGTTGTTCGCAACAAACAACGCGCTCTAAGCTTCTTTTCTGTCTCGAACATAATTAAACTTTTGTTGAACGCTGATTGGCGTTTGGCAAATAGTCGCGGTTTGTTTGCCGCTCAAAGCAAAAGTTCTTTTTTCGGCGCATCGGCGTTAAGTACGAACGATCGCGCGTACTTAGAAAAAAAACATAGTTCTTGGCTGCTCAACTGACGTGGGTGTGAATTTCTATTTTTACCGGTGTCCTGCCATGAACTTCGATTAATCGACTATCTATAAAAAAAATAAAATAAAAAAATTACCTCGCCGCAAGCAACATGTCTTTGATGTTTTGCACCCTATTTCGTCGTCTAATTCTATTGCTCATTTTCGCTTTATTCGTCCTTGATGGCTTGCTGGTGTCGAGCGTCGTGCAACAACGCACTTTGGAGGAAGCGCGTCAGGAACGGCAACGGCTGGTGCAGAAGTATATTAAAACTTTAAATAAGGAGGAGGGTGCCATACGATTGGTGGGCGGTGAAACCGAGTATGAAGGTAAGTCAAGGAATGGACGCGAAAAGTGAAGTGGAAATATTCGAAAAGAAACGCATAAATGCAACGAAATTTTAGCTGAGAAAATGAGCTAAGAGAAACAAAAAAATACTTAGACAGGGAAATATTTTTCAGTTGAAACCGCGTTTATAAAATTCCTTGGAAGAAAGGTGACAAAAGTAATGAGATAAAAAGGATAAATCCTAGCACGTCCCTATGCAAAATTATTAGGCTATTCCTGCCTTTAGCCTGTCTGAGGGAGAAAAGAAAAATATTAAATGGTGAAAATTTGCAAGCGAACTTTTTTATTTTTTAGTTTGATTTAATTTTGAATGACTTTTTTGCGGTCTGTAGGTCTAATGCCTACCATTTTTTTTTAATTCAAAAGTGGTATTGCTACTGCCATGGACCGTCAAAATGAATGGTGCATACTGTGCAGCGTGTCACAAAAAATAATATAGAATTTCTAGATATGCCGATTTTTTTCCTTGAAAAGTTTCAATGCAATCAAAAAAGAAAATTGTCAAATCTAATTGAATTAAATCCTTTCCCAAGGGTTATCGATTGATATTCATATTGCAAAATTGCACTTAAGTAAGTTTTATGACTCATTAAAATATATGGCAACTCTGTTAAAAGTTCTCTCGGCTAAAATTTTTTCATCTCGGGATCCCATTGAAGGAAAATAAAACTGGATACCATTGGATGACATTTGGTTCAGACTCTCAAGGATTCTGGTATGAAAATTGCGGGCCGGCTTTAATTATTTCGTGCTTGGCAGAACTCAAAAGCTTTGCATGCCAGTATGCCCAGCCAACTTTCGCAGAGCTAAATAATCGTAAGCTGCTCTCATCAAGAGTTCACTCGGTGTCTACAAAGGCACATTCGGATGGCCAGGAGACCGTACCCTAGTCCTATCCCTGCTGACAGTTAAACTTGTTTGATCTTTTAAGGATTCCAGACAGTTGCTCCAGTACAAGTGTGCCTACACTGCCCAGATCTACAAATAAATAGTCCACCAAAGGAGTGTAGGGCATTTTCACAGAAAAGATTTTTTAGGATTCTAACTCGTCCTCAGCTTAAAAGAGTTTACAACAATTATTATAAGACGTTAGTCGAACGATGAGCAGATAAATCCAACTTCCATTAGTAGACGCTATGGTATTTACTTTTAAGAGCAGGTTATCAGGGGGCACGGGCATGGTTGAACCTAGTTTTCAAAGTCCATTACAGAGCGTTACATTTTTTACCGATGTGCTGCCAAAGAGTTTGCAGAGATTCTCGATCTTATTTACCAAATACCCTGATAATTTTTACCGCTTTACCAACTAGGTGCAGCAGTCTTAAGCTTTCTTAGCCTTAAAAACAACAAACATTTCTTTGCCTAAAAATATTTCCTCCTCTATACCGCACCCAGTCAGCTCATTTCACAACGTTTATGCAAAAAATGTCTACTTCAAATACCAACCCGAGCTTATTTTAAACAGTTCGGGAAAAATAGCTATTATTTAAGAGTTATCCTAATTTTCCCCTACAAATGTTTTAAAGACTCAGCTTTTGTAAGTACCATTTTTCCCATCTCATTCCAGGCAACATCGAAATATTACACAACAACAAATGGGGTGCCATTTGCGACGACGAATGGGATGCACTCGAAGGTCGCGTCGTATGCCAGCAACTGGGCTATCCTGGTCTTAGACGCGTCACCCACAACGGTTTTTTCGGTTTAGCGCGACGTCGCTACTGGATGGACAACATGTACTGTGAAGGCGACGAACACGAACTCACCGACTGCCACTTCGATGGTTGGGGCATAAACGACTGTGAAGCTAATGAAGCCGCCGGTGTTGTGTGCAAGAGTCCGCAAGCAGAGCGCACAACGGAGGCACCTTTGCCACAGCACCTGCCGAAATTCACGCTACCACATGCCTATCGTATCGAATTGCGGTTACGCGGTGGACGCCGAGCGCACGAAGGACGCGTTGAAGTGCGCATCGATGGTGGCCGATGGGGCACAATATGCTCGGACGGATGGTCATTGCTGGAAGCAAATGTAGTTTGTCGTCAACTGGGTTTGGGTTTCGCACGCGACGCGCTTCAAACGGACTACTTTGGTGGATTGGACATTGCGCCGGCGGTACTAAGCGGTACCGAGTGTTATGGTAATGAGACTTCGTTGGCGCAGTGTCTACATCACGACCACTTACGACCGCCGGCCGAATGTCACGGTGAGCGTAATCATGTTGCGGTGGCGGTATGCGATCATTTGGCGCCCGATTTGGTGGTGGACTTCTATGAACTAGAACGCACGGCGCACTTGGAAGATCGACCAATGGCACTGATGCAGTGCGCGATGGAGGAGAACTGTGTAGCGAATGAGGCTTATGACATACAGCGAGATGATCCTAATTGGCGTTATGTGACACGGCGGTTGCTAAAATTCACTGCGAGTACACTGAATGCAGGCAACACAGATTTCCGGCCGTTTAAAGAGAAACACCTGTGGGAGTGGCACATGTGTCATATGTAAGTGGGGATGGAGCAGGGTTTAGTTAAGGCATTCCATACAGATATTTTCTCTTTATAGGCACTATCACAGCATGGAGGTATTTGCCACATTCGATGTATATGATCTGATGGGCAACAAAGTGGCACAAGGACACAAAGCATCCTTTTGCTTGGAGGATAATCAGTGCCTCTCAGGAGTACCAAAGAAATATAACTGCGCCAATTTTGGAGATCAGGGTGGGTTAGAAGTGGAAGTGAATTGGCGTTGAGGTTTTTCATTCTTATTTTACATTCAGGCATCTCAGTCAACTGCTCTGATATTTACCTTTACAATTTGGACTGCCAGTGGGTGGATATTTCCGAATTAGATACCGGTTCTTATATTTTGAAAATCGCCGTTAATCCGGAATTCAAAGTGGCCGAAATGAGTTTTGACAACAATGCAGCGGTGTGCAACCTTTTATATACAGATACTTATGCGCGTGTGGATGACTGCAGGCTGAGTAGGCCTTAGGCAGAATTTTATAGGTTTTCACGAGGAAGCCCTCAACTCAACAGTGCCAAAAATTAAATAACTGATGCAAAAAAAAAATACCAAGCCAAATATAATTATGCGTAGTTTTATGGTAAATAATGCATACTTAGTAATTAAATATTCTTAGAGAGGTTGGAAGAAAAAAAATATTTTAAATTTTTTGCATTTACTATTTCAAATTGGATTTACTTTATTTTATTTTACTTTGTTTTGTATTTTATTTGATTTTCTTTAATTTTGTTATATTTGATTTTTTTTTGAATTTTTCTAACTTTGGTTTGATTTTACACTAATTTGATTTGGTTAAATTAAATTTAGTGTTTTTTGTTAGTTTGTATTTTATTTTATTTTATTATTTTATTATTATTTTTTATTTAGTTTTTGTTCTTCTATTTTATTATATTTTATTTTTCTTTATTTTATTTTATTTTATTTTATTTTATTTTATTTTATTTTATTT